GACCGCATAACAACATACGTTGTTCCCTTTGTCATCGGTATGTTACTTGCCCGAGATTCGATCGTCGGTATCCAATACCTAGTTCAATCTCGTTACTGGCAAGTCTCTTTACTCGTTCCGTAATACATCATCTCACAACTAACATATTAGTTGTAATGCTTGCAAGGCTTATGTGATGTGTATTACCGAGAGGGCCCAGAGATACCTCTCCGACAATCGGAGTGACAAATCCTAATCTCGAAATACGCCAACCCAACATCGACCATTGGAGACACCTGTAGTACTCCTTTATAATCACCCAGTTACGTTGTGACGTTTGGTAGTACCCAAAGTGTTCCTCCGGTAAACGGGAGTTGCATAATCTCATAGTCATAGGAACATGTATAAGTCATGAAGAAAGCAATAGCAACATACTAAACGATCGGGTGCTAAGCTAATGGAATGGGTCATGTCAATCAAATCATTCTACTAATGATGTGACCTCGTTAATCAAATAACAACTCATTGTTCATGGTTAGGAAACTTAACCATCTTTGATTAACGAGCTAGTCAAGTAGAGGCATACTAGTGACACTCTGTTTGTCTATGTATTCACACATGTATTATGTTTCAGGTAAATACAATTCTAGCATGAATAATAAACATTTATCATGATTATAAGGAAATAAATAATAACTTTATTATTGCCTCTAGGGCATATTTCCTTCAGTCTCCCACTTGCACTAGAGTCAATAATCTAGATTACACTGTAATGAATCTTACACCCATGGAGCTTTGGTGCTGATCATGTTTTGCTCGTGGAAGAGGCTTAGTCAACGGGTCTGCAACATTCAGATCCGTATGTATCTTGCAAATCTCTATGTCTCCCACCTGGACTAGATCCCGGATGGAGTTGAAGCGTCTCTTGATGTGTTTGGTCCTTTTGTGAAATCTGGATTCCTTTGCCAAGGCAATTGCACCAGTATTGTCACAAAAGATTTTCATTGGACCCGATGCACTAGGTATGACACCTAGATCGGATATGAACTCCTTCATCCAGACTCCTTCATTTGCTGCTTCCGAAGCAGCTATGTATTCCGCTTCACATGTAGATCCCGCTACAACGCTTTGTTTAGAACTGCACCAACTGACAGCTCCACCGTTTAATGTAAACACGTATCCGGTTTGCGATTTAGAATCGTCCGGATCAGTGTCAAAGCTTGCATCAACGTAACCTTTTACGGTGAGCTCTTTGTCACCTCCATATACGAGAAACATATCCTTAGTCCTTTTCAGGTATTTTAGGATGTTCTTGTTAGGTTTCGTAGTAATTTCAAAAATTTTCCTACGCGCACACAGGATCATGTGATGCATAGCAACGAGAGGAGAGTGTTGTCTACGTACCCAACGCAGACCGACTGCGGAAGCGATGACACGACGTAGAGGAAGTAGTCGTACGTCTTCACGATCCAACCGATCAAGCACCGAAACTACGGCACCTCCGAGTTCGAGCACACGTTCAGCTCGATGACGATCCCCGGACTCCGATCCAGCAAAGTGTCGGGGAAGAGTTTCGTCAGCACGACGGCGTGGTGACGATCTTGATGAACTACAGCAGCAGGGCTTCGCCTAAACTCCGCTACAGTATTATCGAGGAATATGGTGGCAGGGGGCACCGCACACGGCTAAGGAATCGATCACGTGGATCAACTTGTGTCAACTTGTGTGTCTAGGGTGCCCCCTTGCCCCCGTATATAAAGGAGGGAGGGAGGAGGAGGCCGGCCTAGGGAGGAGGCGCGCCATAGGGGAGTCCTACTCCCACCGGGAGTAGGATTCCCCCTTTCCTAGTCCAACTAGGAATCCTTCCATGTAGTAGGAGTAGGAGACTAGGAAGGGGAAGAGAGAAGGAAAGGAAGGAGGGGGTGCGGCCCCTCCCCCTAGTCCAATTCGGACTAGGCCTTGGGGGGGCGCGCGGCCTGCCCTAGGCAGCCCCTCTCTCTTTCCCGCAGGGCCCAATAAGGCCCAATACTTCTCCCCGGCGAATTCCCGTAACTCTCCGGTACTCCGATAAATACCCGAATGACTCGGAACCTTTCCGAACTCCGAATATAGTCGTCCAATATATCAATCTTTACGTCTCGACCATTTCGAGACTCCTCGTCATGTCCCCGATCTCATCCGGGACTCCGAACTCCTTCGGTACATCAAAACTCATAAAATAACTGTCATCGAAACCTTAAGCGTGCGGACCCTACGGGTTCGAGAACAATGTAGACATGACCGAGACACGTCTCCGGTCAATAACCAATAGCGGGACCTGGATGCCCATATTGGCTCCTACATATTCTACGAAGATCTTTATCGGTCAGACCGCATAACAACATACGTTGTTCCCTTTGTCATCGGTATGTTACTTGCCCGAGATTCGATCGTCGGTATCCAATACCTAGTTCAATCTCGTTACCGGCAAGTCTCTTTACTCGTTCCGTAATACATCATCTCACAACTAACATATTAGTTGTAATGCTTGCAAGGCTTATGTGATGTGTATTACCGAGAGGGCCCAGAGATACCTCTCCGACAATCGGAGTGACAAATCCTAATCTCGAAATACGCCAAGCCAACATCGACCATTGGAGACACCTGTAGTACTCCTTTATAATCACCCAGTTACGTTGTGACGTTTGGTAGTACCCAAAGTGTTCCTCCGGTAAACGGGAGTTGCATAATCTCATAGTCATAGGAACATGTATAAGTCATGAAGAAAGCAATAGCAACATACTAAACGATCGGGTGCTAAGCTAATGGAATGGGTCATGTCAATCAGATCATTCTACTAATGATGTGACCTCGTTAATCAAATAACAACTCATTGTTTATGGTTAGGAAACATAACCATCTTTGATTAACGAGCTAGTCAAGTAGAGGCATACTAGTGACACTCTGTTTGTCTATGTATTCACACATGTATTATGTTTCCGGTAAATACAATTCTAGCATGAATAATAAACATTTATCATGATTATAAGGAAATAAATAATAACTTTATTATTGCCTCTAGGGCATATTTCCTTCAAAAGGAGTATGTCAATCTTGCCCAACAAGAAGTCTTGATCCGAAAAAGAGCCTTGGTTCGTGCAATGGGTGGCGATGGCCTCGGCGCCATGGGAGGCATGGGTGGCATCGGCGCCATGGGAGGCGGTGGCCTCGGCGCCATGGGAGGCATGGGTGGCCTCGGCGCCATGGGAGGCATTAGTGGCTTTGGAGGCATGGGAGGCATGGGTGCACCTCCGGCCGCCATGGGAGGCATGGGTGGCTTTGGAGCACCTTCCGACGCTATGGTCGCCATGGGAGGCATGGGTGCACCTCCGGCCGCCATGGGAGGCATGGGTGGCTTTGGAGCACCCTCCGACGCTATGGCCGCCATGGGAGGCATGAGTTTTGCTTCTCTCATGGGAGGTATGGGTGCACCTCCGGCCGCCATGGCTTCTCACACACATTCCCATGAAGATGCCATTGAAGATCTTGCCAACACCGTCGGAGCTTCACATGATGCGGTGCGTGATGCGGTGCGTGATGAGGATAGGGAGGAAGGTTCATCTTCGGAGGCGGAAAAGTCGTCTTCGGAAGATGAGGACGAAGACGAAGAAGAGGAAGATGAAGATGAAGATTGATGTGTCTTTCATGTCTTGAACTTTTAGTTTGCATTTGAACTTGGTTGGATGAACTTGTGGGTATGATTTTGATGAACTTGTGGGCATGAACTTTTATTCATCAACTTGTTTGTGTCAAATTTTACATGTTCATTTTTGTCCAAAATATCCATATATGCAAAATGTCCGGCGAGTCACACGCGCTGTATTTTGGCGCTCTGCTGGAGCGGCGCGCGCGCGCTGCATTATGGCGCGGCTGCTGGAGTCAGCGCAGGCCGGCGCGCAAAATCAGCCGCAGCGCGCGCTAACAGGTTTTTTGCGCGCGGCGCTATAGCGCGGCTGTTGGAGATGCTCTAAGATGTCTAATTTCCATCACAAGCGAGGAATAAACCGATCTATCAATTTCACGATCTTGAATAATAGAGACTGCCACCATTGAATTCATCTCAATCACAATAGGGAGGTCACTTCTTTGAATAGCAAACGAGAGTCCTTTCATACACGCACAAAGCTCTGCCTCAAGCGCATCCCGGCAAGATCTTAGCTCCCTGCAAGCTGAAAAAAATGATGGATCCATCGGCACCCTTTAGAACCACACCTGCACCTGTCGTGCCATCTGTAGCAAATGAGACATCAGTTTTTAATTTGACCCACCCAGGACTAGGTGGGAACCACGGGAGAGAAACTATAGGCTTGATATTGCCTACAGGTTCAGACAAATTATCATATGAGATGAACATCTTCCCTTTGCTTGGATCTATATTTGTATTCCACTTAATACCGATCAAAGAGTCCAGATAACTTTGAAGGTACCTACTCGACACCTCCAATGTAGTCATTTTTGGGGGCCAAATTCTTTGGTATTCCATCCCAGGAAGACCCTAGCGCTGCCACTGTCGAGTGTGCGTTGCTGCCAGGGACCATCGTACACAGAACGAGGGGCAAGTGGGGACGATCAATCATGCGGTTGGGACCATCGCGATCGACGGCTCTAGACGGAACCGATCTTTGCTAGGATCAACCGACCGACTGCTAGTACCGGCCAAATACATTTGGGAGCCGTCTTCAACATCTGAATCTGTATCATCCTGCAAACCAAACACGTATAGCAGCCATCAGAAAACCTGCTATTGATGGAGTAGCAAATAAGCCAAACGCCACCTAACTCAGCCTTGGGCCGCACAACGCATCAAACCATTGCGCAATTTCCGAAGAATGCAGACTCTTTGGCAGTAACTTACTCCATCGCCTGCTCCACCGGTTATAACAGTCTCCTTCCTCCTGTCCTCTCAGCATCGCCTCGGCCTCGCAGAGTCACACGGTGTCCCCTGAACCCCCAGGCAAGTTCTCGGAGCAGCGGCGGAGGAGATGTCGTACGCCCACCTCTTCAAGTACATCGTCATCGGCGACGCAGGTCAGCTTCAGATGCTCCCCCGGTCGACCCCTTTCTCATCCTGCTCGCTCCGGGAGGGGGTCCCTCATGGATCCCCGAGCTCTTGGCTGCTCTCGTTGCTTGGGAGATCTATCCCACCTGCCTTCGTCTGATTGCATGTCTGTGCAGGTGTTGGCAAGTCGTGCCTGCTGCTGCAGTTCACCGACAAGCGGTTCCAGCCCCTCCATGACCCCACCATCGACACCGAGGTCGACGTCTTCGCCTCCAAGATGATCACCGTTGACAGAAAGCCCATCAAGCTCCAGATCTGGGACACGGTACGATGGCGAATCCTCTTAATTTCTCTGGGTGTGCCTAGATAGGCTGGGTCCTTGTACTGTACGAATTAGTACCAACCAAGTGAGCTGTCGCTTATAAATATTTTATGAAACTTTAGGATTATCGAAGCATGTTTGGGAACTAAAAGATGCTGGGTTCACCGTTGATGCTTGTGAGTTTCCGTCGGAGAGTGTTTTTTCTACTCCCGACACGGGTGAACAGCACATTGAAAATACACTATGAAACAAAATCCAAAAATTCAGAAATTTTGCGACATCAAACATGATCAAATGTTTTAGGTGTTTGCAAAATTTCGTGAAGAAATAACATTCAAGGAGCTCTCAAAAAGAAAATCACGGCTCAAAGCTTTGTGTACTGTTTGAGCAGTGAATTTTTTTTGAGAGCTCCTCAAATGTTATTTGTTCATGAAATTTTGCAAGAACCTAAATTTTTTGATCATGCTTGATGTTGCAAAATTTCAGAATCTTTAATTTTATTTTAAACTTTTTTCTCTCTATGTGTTGTTCACCTGGGTGTAGTACACCCGGGAGTAGCCACACCTTTCCGTTTCGGTATGAACTAGTAGTTCTCATGAGTCATGGGATAGAAGTAGTGCAGATGTATATTTTGAGTTATACAAGGTTTGCCGTGCCATAAACATTAGCATCACATTGAGTTGTCAAGGCAAATGACCATCTCACATTACAGCCAGGCGAAGACAGATTCAGATCGATCACTAGATCATACTACGATGAAGTTGATGGAGCTCTTCTAGTTTATGACATCACCAGGTACTTGTCCAATCCAAAAGCTACCTAGTTAGATGAAGTGCGTGGTTTCCTGAACTTTTACCATGGTGTTTGTGTTATGATGATCTTCAGGAGGGAAACATTTAATCATCTCGCGAACTGGTTAAGGGACGTGAGGCAATTTGCAAAGGACAACATGACAATAATGCTAGTTGGAAACAAATGTGATCTATCTCAGAGGCGTACCGTGAGCTATGAGGAAGGTAGGAAGTTTGCAAATGAGCATGGTCTGATCTTTGTGGAGGCATCTGCCAAAACTGCACAAAATGTTGAGGAGGTGACAGACTGATCGATCCTTGTTGCATCTCTGTGAAATTAACGCCTCTCTAGGCATTTTCTCATGCCATTTCAAATGCAGGGTTTCGTTCAGACTGCTGGAGTCATATACAAGAAAATCCAGGATGGCGCCTTCTAATAATAAGCTGAAATTGCAAAAGTCTATCATCAATTTGGTCTGCTTAGTGAATAATGAGCACCTGGTGAACAAGTGCTGGTAGGCCTGGCCTACTTCCTGCGTGGAATATTTATGTAGCTGTGTGTTTACTACAAATCAAGCAGGGACACCTTTAGGCTGATTCAAGAGTGCTATCTGCTATGTTTTTTTTTTTTGAGGGTGTGCTATCTGCTATGTGATCACTATGTTGCGCTGTTCAATAATCAACAATTTCAGTCCAGTTCTCTTGTATCTTTTCTCCACTGTGCACTTCAATTTGCAATGAAATTGGGCATGCTGTTTTTTTATTCTTCTCCTGGTCCGCGTTATCAGTAGCCAAACACAATAGATTAGTCACACATTCACACTAGAGAACAATATTTGAAAAATGTGTGGCTAGGTCTCAGTCGACTGAGATTTTTTAGAGAAAAGGCATCGGCCAAGCCCGAGAGAGGGCTCTAACCTAGCCCGGCTTTGAATTAACAAAGCCATCAACCGGCCAGGATTACAAGGAACGACATCACAAAGAAAAGGAAACAAGCGGAGCAGAGATACAAAGTGCTAAGCGGAACGGCTCAAAGGCAACAACACACAGTGTTGCCAACGACCACAGCAGTGTCAAACAAGCAACCAAACTAAGGCTACAGGAGGGCGACAACTCCGGGCTAGTATTGTGCCGCTGACTGCAACCACACAGGAAGACAAGAGCAGCCCCAGATCTGTCTCTGCCGCCGCAAAGGGCCACAACCCTTTCACCCGGACTCAACGGGAGCCGCACCGGCGGCCGGCAGAGAGGTTCCACATGAACCCAGATTAGGGCGCCGAGCCACCATAGGGAAATAGCTGAGGCAGACCCACACGCATCGGAAGCCGACCAAGAGCACCGTCGCCGGAAGCCGCAGGACAGGACGACAGCCGCAAGTCGTGGACGAAGGCGAAGATCCACGGAGAAGGCCAAAAGGGGCACAACCAAAGCGGTGGTCAGGGATTGGAGCAACCGAGACCACGGCGGCCGCCACTGAGAAGAACAGGCTGCCTCACACCGTCACCATGCCACCAACAGCTCCACCCCACACGAGCAATCCCCGGAAGGCGCCTTCAAGGAGCACGGCACCGGATGCCGCCGTCGTCCATGAAAGGGGAGGGCAGGTCTTCACCTGTGCTCGAGGGAGGGTGGGAGGGGAGAACTGTCGTGGTTCTAAGTCTGACAGTAGAATGGGGGGTAGGTATGGAGAGGCAAGATCCTAGCTATGGAGCAGTTGTGAAGACAAGAGATGTACGAGTTCAGGCCCTTCTTGGAAGAAGTAACAGCCCTACGTCTCGGAGCCCGGAGGCGGTCGACTGGATTATGTGTGTATAGATTACAAGGGTGCGAACCCTTTACACTGAGGAGGGGGTGGCTTATATAGTGTCCGCCAGACCCCTCCGGCCCTCAGTAATGCAGGGTTTAAAGTATATTAAGGCTAGGCGTTACTGGTAACGCCTTACATAAAGTGTCCTAAATGCCATAAAGACTACTTAATTACAGACCGTTTGGATGCAGAGTGGCTCTTGACCTCCTGGTGGTCGAGTGAGTCTTCGTGGTCGAGTCCTCCGAGTCCGTCGAGTGAAGTCCCTCTTGGTCGACTGGAAGGCAATTTCTTCTGAGGGTGTCCTTGGGAAGGGTACTTAGGTCAGGTCTATGACCCTACCCTAGGTACATGACTTCATCATTAGCCCCCGAATGGATCGAGGTTTAGGTAAAGAAGGAGTTGATGATGTTTCCGACTCCCTTTTATGTTTTGAACATGTATCATCTTGGAACAATAATCTTTTTGTTGATTACAGCAACTTTTCTTTCAGTCGCCTTGATCCATTATTTTCTATCGTCGAGTGAGCTTTTGAACTTAGTAATTTCCGAGCGACGGGTCGCAGCAAATCTCTCGTCTGACAGATTGATCTGCTGTTAGCGGATTTTGTGGGATCCGAATTTTGGGAAGCGCGCGAAGCGGGGTGGACCGCGGCGCTCGGATGGGATAGGGCATAGACGCCTCGATTCCCGCGCCGTCTTTTTCGCCACGTATCGCGTACGCGCGACTGTTTCGGGATGTGATTGGATTGCCTGGGCCCACTTGTCATCCACTCGGAAGCGGCCTTATAAAATGCGCCCGGCGAGGGTTTTTGAACAGTACCTCCCCACTTCCCCTTCTGTCCTCTCCGCCTCCGCCCACAGCGCCTGCTCTCGCCTCCGCCCAACCACTCCTCGTACGCTTCACCGGCGACAATGGTGAAGGAGAAGACGGTGGCTCTGGAGCGCGCGAAGAAGGCGACGGCGACAGGGAAGGCGAAAGGGAGAGCGACCAGTTGGGGCGGATCTTCATCAAGGTCCCGCCTGCCGCACGGTTGGGTTCAAGGGGATTGGATCCGCTCGACCATCACCGAGAGGGATCTCACTGAGATGGCCAACGAGGGTTTGATCCCCCACGGGGTAGCGAGCCTCCCGGGGAACGAGTGGCAACCACAGCCGCAGGAGGGTGAGTGTGTTCTTCTGGCTACCCACGTCGACCGTGGGTTCTCCCTGCCTCCGAGTGTTTTCTTCCGTGGTTTCTTGAATTTCTTTGGGGCGCAACTCCATCATTTCAATCCAAATTCTATCGCCTACCTTGCTGCCTTCGTGTCCATGTGCGAGAACTTCCTGGGCTGCCGACCGCACTGGGGTCTGTTTAAGCACATATTCATTTGTCGCTCATAGACAGTAAAAAAGGCAAATCCAGATGACGATAGGACTATGGTTACTCAGATGTGCAGGGGTCTCAGGATCCAAATGAGGAGCAAGAGTACTTTTCCGGCCATGACTCTTCCTGAGTCGGTCAGAGGGTGGCAGTCGACTTGGTTCTACTATCAAGACGAGTTGACGCCGGGGCAGTCGACTGGTCTCCCTCCATTCTCCATGGACCGAGTGAACAAGCCCTCTTCTCTGAAGGTGCTCCCTGAGGAGAAAGCTCAAGTGAAGATGTTGATGGAGCGTGTAGTTCAGCTAGTTCGGGAAGGAGTGACGGGTATGGACCTTCTTGAGGTCTTCCTTAGGCGGCGCATCCAACCACTTCAGTACCGAGGCCATTGTATGTGGCTGTACCGTGGAACCGAGGATGAAACTCGGGTCCATCCAGAAGCAGTCGACGACGCCACACTGGAGAGGTGGATGGCCGTGATCACAGGGAATAAAGACAACCCTCGAGGAGTCAGGAGGATTCCACCACTCGACCATTCCTCTACTCCGGACCCGGTACACCCACTTTATCTTCACTTGTAGTCTTGCTATACTCATTCTGCTTTTGCTGCAAATTGGTCGATTGATCTTTATTTTGCTGTCTGTTAGGCCACCACCGAACTATACTCGATGCCCAATGGAGCACAGACGCCGACTGAAGAGGAGGAAGGAAGTGGGGGCGAAAGCCAGGGCGAAACCCAGGAGGAGTGGGACTCGGATGCCATTGATGACGATGATGATGATGACTCTGGTGAGGAGGAAGAAGAAGAGGAGGAGGAGGAAGTTGCACCTCCTCGCTCGGAAATACGTTCGAAGCTCATCCATGACCCTACAACCGAACGTGGTAAGGGGGCCGCGACTGTCGCGCAGTCGACTAAGCGCCCTCGGACCACTTCCCCGGCGCCGACTGAGAAGGCTCCGAAGCAATCTCGAATAGCGCCATCGAAGCCGGCGAAGGTCTTGCCGAAGATGAAGGTGGCGATTCCCACCATATCAGGGTAAAAATGCTACTTGAGTCTTCTTGCTCTACATGAGTTTATTTTTGGTCGACTCATGAGTTAACCGACTGATTTTTGGAATTGCAGTGCTGCTACTTCTGACACCTCGGCCAAGGCTGACGATCATGAGATGGAAGACGCTGCTACCTCAAAACCTGGTACGACTTTCATAATCTCGTCTTCAGTCGATTGGCTCTTTGCCTCTGATCTTGATTCTTGTCTGTAGCTCCGTCCAATGTCGTTATTACCCTTCCTGACGACGACGATGAAGAACCATTGAGGCCAAGGAGGAACAGGAAAGCATCTGCTGGCAAGGCGACTCAGGGCGTGCTGGCCTCCAAGACACTGGTCGCGGAGGGAGAGAACACCACTCGGCCTACCGTGTCTTTTGTGGTACCGTTGACGAGTGCTCGCCCTTCATCGTCGAGTGCTGTCCAGCCATCACTTTTCTCGACCCACTTCGTCCCAGAAGACCAGGCAAGTGCTGCGAAAGAAGCAATACGCCAGGCGGGAGTCATGATGGAGCAAGTGAAGGCCATCCGAGAAGCAAGCCAAGCCGCCTATGACGCCAGCTCAGCTCTTCAGAGTAACATTCAGGTCATTCGGTCATCGCTTTTTCTGTTAGGATATGATATTTGAAAATTTCTTCATTCTGAAATCCATAGTGATTGTCCTACACCCACTGGGTGTGTTGATTGAAATTCCGGTTTAGTGGGGGCACGCTGAGTGCACCCACTGGGTGTAGTCCCCGAGGCTATGGTGGACTGCTGGCAGTCGATCATAGGCTTTATAAATTAAGTTTTTCCTTCATTCGACTCGGTCGAATGGGTTTTCCAAACCGGTGGGGGCACGCTGAGTGCACCCACTGGGTGTAGTCCCCGAGACTGTGGTCGACTGCTGGCAGTGGACTATAGTCTGAAGAGCGTTCCTTGTGTTTTTTTTGTTGTTGTTGGTCGACTGGTCGACTCTGACTTGATAGAACTAGTGGGGGCACGCTGAGTGCATCCACTGGGAGTAGTCCCCGAGACTATGGTCGAATATTTGTATTCGACCGTAGTCTTAGAAACGTATGATTTTTCCTTAGTCACTCGAAAGTGAGTTGTCTTTGACATTTTGTCGATTGGTCCTTCGTAGAAATCCTGCGACCTCGCGGCTCGTTACACCGAGTTGGAGAACAAACACATCCAGCTCGAGCTTGATCTGAAGCTGGCCCAGGAGAATTTATCGAAGGCGAA